GGTTGGAACATTGTGAAGAAGTCAAGAAGGTGAGTGGATACACACATTGACACCTTCCCCCGGTGGCTCTACGGAATGTCTGGGGCCTTAAAACACACAAAAAAAAATGGCTTTCGATACTCCCGGTCTGCACAGCACGGATAGCCCATTGTGTAGCCTTGTGCCAAAATAAACAAAAACACATTGAAGTCACATAATTAGCGCTTTTTCTACAAAAATGTTAACGCTGTCAGTGGAAGTCTGAGATGTCGGTTTGTTTATAAGAACTTCAGAACGAAAGTACAGAAGTGTTTGTGCTGTTATTTAGTATATATTTCACATTTATGGTACCAGTGGCCATGTTTTAATAATTGTTGTTAGTAAGCTAATGCGTTGTTCCAGCAGGACAGTAGTTATTGCTACAAACCACTCGTGGAATTACCCGCCCAGAACATGAGTGGAGGGAACCACATGAGGGGGTTTTAATTCGAAAGTTCACACAACAGCTTTCCAGTCGTTATCGAGTGGTTGAGCTTTTGAAACAATAGTGCACAAACATCTTTTACATTGTAGTTGAAAACACATTTTCGAAAGTTCACACAACAGCTTTCCAGTCGTTATCGAGTGGTTGAGCTTTTGAAACAATAGTGCACAAACATCTTTTACATTGTAGTTGAAAACACATTTTCGAAAGTTCACACAACAGCTTTCCAGTCGTTATCGAGTGGTTGAGCTTTTGAAACAATAGTGCACACACATCTTTTACATTGTAGTTGAAAACACATTTTCGAAAGTTCACACAACAGCTTTCCAGTCGTTATCGAGTGGTTGAGCTTTTGAAACAATAGTGCACAAACATCTTTTACATTGTAGTTGAAAACACATTTTCGAAAGTTCACACAACAGCTTTCCAGTCGTTATCGAGTGGTTGAGCTTTTGAAACAATAGTGCACAAACATCTTTTACATTGTAGTTGAAAACACATTTTCCATAGTCAAGTTCGGGATGGTTTTATATTTACAATGACGCCTAGGATACTCCTCTCCAGCGGCCTGATGAGACCTGGGATTCGGCGAAAGGTCGCATTGGCATTGTACATATAAGTATAGTTAACATATTACATTCCTTTTTATTTTCACTCGCAAGTTATTATAATATACTTATGATAAAGTTATGTATATTTCCTTATATTCCAGCTTGTGAAATATTGATGTTTTGTTATAGCTATTAAGCTGAAGGAGGTGGATATGTGGTGCATGGGCTGGCCATTGAAAATCGAGGTTCGTACTTTGCAGACAAATTTTTGTAACAGATGACTTGACCAAATCTGTAGTATTTTTTCTGTAACATATATATGTTCTTTTCAAAGATTGTGTTTAAGAAGATTGTTTTAGAGTTGAAGAGCGTTCTCAGATGTTCTTTTCATTGAAAAGAAAGTGTGTGTGTGTGTGTGTATAGATTTCGTATGAAAAGTTCCAATTTTGCTAGTCTTATCACCGGTGGTTGTTTATTACGTAATTAAACATTCGTAGCTTCGTGGTAAGTTCATAATCACTGATATCGGTTGTGCTTATGCGGCGCATGTTCGTGTCGGTTCACATGTATGCGCTGTTAACATATACATGCACATTAAATTAAGTACCTTGTTTTATGTGTTTGTAAAGCATTTTAGTGTATTTGGCCAACCATGTATCATGAATGATAATCCATGGCAGTTGTTCATATATTTGATTTTTCGAGAAGTTATATTTTGTCAAAAAATTGCTAATTTCACTCAGAAGTTGACAAAATTGTTGTATGGTAATAATATATTGTTGCCCAATTAACCTCATTTTATACAACAACGTCGCGAAAAGGCGTTACATTCCAAGGTGGACTAAGTTCACCCACTTTTTGCTTTGTAGTTTCAGAAGGTTTAAATTCGACTACTTGATTTCTATATAGTTCACTCAATGCTTTCTGTAAGCGTCGAACCTAGCGAAAAGAATATGTATGCGACATTAGAAAATCATGAGAGAGAGAGAGAGAGTGAACATACGGCACGTGATTGATGGGGATATTCCTTACTCGTAAAGGCCTATGTACATTTGTTGTAATGGTAGCCTGATGTTTGTCTTGTTCTCGAGTGTTTGCTTGT